TTCTGGTCGCTTGCGACGAGTTGCAAGAAATCAAACTGTTTTGATTTTGAGCGACTCGTCGCTCCCAATCGCTCCCAAATTGCTCCAGCATTGCTTCGAAATCGCATGTGTGCGCACACGCGGTGACACATCGACCGATCGCTTGCGGTTGCAGGTTGCAGCGACGAGCATCCAAAAATCACAGGTCTGCACAACTCTTTAGCAAGCAGTATGATTGGCATGAGACAGCTGGTGCAGCCTAATCCCTGGTGCATTTACTATCTGTCATGACTCATTACACCCTGTAGCCCTAATGGAGTCAAGGTTAGATGCATCAATGTCAGGTCACATCCTCCGCCCATCATAACACATTCTATTGGTTATAGATTCAAGGCTAGATGGATTACGTCACCGTAAATAGTAAAAGTAAAAAAAACATGTCCCCTTTTTCACAAAATGTCAGTGATTCTGTTCACTTTTTATGGTTACATTACTGTATTATATTTCCTATTTTGCTATTCCGTTCGATGTGAATAAACACTCGTGACTCATACATAGCCCATAGCAAGCATTTAATGTCGTGATCAATATATCAAATCGCCCAGTTTTTTGTGGATTTTTAACTAGTTGAAAAACAATCTTATCAGGTAAGAATTTGAGGATAGATTTAGTCCCGTTAGTACTTACTTTTCATGTAAAAATTGCAACAAATTTTTTACAATTATACACCATGGAAAATTCGTGACGTAATCAATTTAATATCTGGTCACCCAATCACACGCCCTGTATCGGCTACAGCATCTAGTCTTGGTGTGTCCATGCCTGGTCACCCCCCTCACGTAGCGGCCAAGATATTTGGATCACTGTCCATGCCAGGCTCCCCCCCCCCCAGCTAACTCCCTCTTACAGTCACTGCGTCGAGGCTAGCACTGCATTCCATGCTTCCACTGGTCGGCATTCGCACACTTCCAAGCGCTCGTTGTAGATGTATGTGTGTGTGTGTGTGCGTGCGTGCGTGCGTGCGTGCGTGCGTGCGTGTGTGTTGGCTGGCCAGGACAGGAATCTGCCGTGAGCACCATCACGTGTTCACGCGCCTCTTGTAGGGCTTCAGTTTAGAGTGGGCTTCACTCCGACGATGTGCAGCAGCGCGGAAGCTGAGGAAACTGAAGCCCTTGTCCTTGCTCTTCAACATCTCTATATATCCTCCTCTGACTCGTTGTCCGTCTGTCTGACCTCTTCACTCGTCTCTCTCTCTCTCTCTCTCTCTCTGTCTCTCTCTCTCTCTCTCTCTCTCACTTGCTGTCTAACTTGCCAGTCATTCGTCTCAAAACTTAGCTGGCTCTCTCAGGAGACAACCCAAGGTCCTGTATTACAGTGGCATCGCAGATCGCTTGTCATCCAGTATGTTACCATTAAGCCTAGCGCAGACCTGTGACTTTTTCATGCAACTCGACAGCGTTCCTAGAATCGCTGTAAAAATTGCTGTGAAATCGCTACTTCTGCCGGGAACATGCAACTGCAACCCGTAGCACTTCTGGTCGCTTGCGACGAGATGCAAGAAATCAAACCGTTTTGATTTTGAGCGACTCGTCGCTCCCAATCGCTCCCAAATTGCTCCAGAATGTGTATTCGAAATCGCATGTGTGCGCACACGCGGTGACACATCGACCGATCGCTTGCAGGTTGCAGCGACGAGCAACCAAAAATCGCAGGTCTGCGCTAGGCTTTACCGGTGTAGTTGTTATCTTTGCCGTCATAAGTACTGTCTTCGTCATCAGCGGCAGCGGTGCTGATTCTTACTTGTGGAGAGATTTTGTAAAACAGTGGCGTGTGACTCGCACTCACTCAGGCACTATACCGTGTCCAATGTCATACATGTTCAGGTCAGACCATCCCGTGTAGGTGGCGCCACAGTGATATCATATCGTGGCGCAGCTGCGTATAGGTGGCGCTACAGTGATGCGGTACCTGGCGCTGATGCGTATAGGTGGCGCTACAGT